GAAGAATTTCTTCCCTCTGAGGGTGACGGAGCACTGGAACAGGCTGCCCAGGGAGGTTGTGGAGTCTCCTTCTCTGGAGATATTCAAGACCTGCCTGGACAAGGTCCTCTGCAGCCTGCTGTAGGTGACCCTGCTTCGGCAGGAGGGCTGGACTAGATGACCCACGGAGGTCCCTTCCAACCCCGACCATTCTGTGATTCTGTGATTCTGTGACTTGGTTAGGTAAGAATAGTTCACAACTTCAAAAAATAGACTAGTGTAATGCTTGGAAACATTGTTAAGATAAAACATCCATAAGAACTCTCTTTCTCTCTCAGGATTCACTTCGGAATGAACGGTTCCATGCTCATTAATCCTGACGGAAGCAAAGACAAACATGGCATGCTACCAGTTTTGGAGATACAGCTTACAGAGGATACTGTTTGTTTTTTTGAGGTGACAGTGGAGTATAGGTAGGGCAAAAACTAACCAAGTTAAACACAGCTTGGTTTGTATCTTTTTATGATGTCCTTTTAAGAACATAATGAAAAAACACAGAGCAGTTGTGAAGCACTTGGGTGAAAGCCATCATAGACACAAAGAAACAAAACAAAACTTTCTAAACATATCACATGTATTGGTATAGTAATTCAATTTTGTTACTTTTGTATCAGAATTACATACAGTTAAAGTAGTTCTATGCCATAGCCTCATTAGATAATGTCAAGACTGGGAATGAAAGTTGGATTTAATTCTGTCCATAGATCTGAATGCTGAACCCCATTGCTCCTTTAATTTCCATGCAAGTCTCACTTCCTGAACAAGAATGAGATTCTGTTATGGTTATTGACTTCAAATTTTTATGCTCCCAAGACTGTGGTTTTATTTTTATTTTCTTTTAGAAGCAAATTGATATGATTGTTCTAACTGACATTAAGTGGATGTTTTTGTCCATCAGCATTGTACTTCTCACTGCTAACAGAAATAACGTAGCAAGCTTGATTTTAAAGCATTTGAGGCTCTTGGGTGAAAAGGAGCATGTATATTCAAGTAATATATATGCATATTTAATATTACAAAGCAAAAGCTTATGTCAGTCTGAGACTTCTTGTACTGTATTATTTTCAAACTGTTTGGTCTTCATTTTATGATTATGCTTAACCTAATAAAATAAAGGTTTAAGAAAATATATCTTATATTCTCATGTAACTAATGGACCACGTAAACCTACTGTTAGTTATGGCTGATGTTCCATACTCATGGTCTTTTCATGGTGGCAGTAGTTTTAAAGCAAGGATCTGGCAACTATTTTTCAAACTAATGTGAAGAGAATGAGGGTGATTTCTTGTACATTGGACCAGATGCATGTTCATGCATGTATCGTTGACCTGGTTTTGGTGGGAGTGGTTAATGTAATTTCTGTTGCATCTTCCTGTCACTGGTATTTTCATGGTTTCTGTTAACCTGCATATAATGTTCTATTATGGTTTCATGTGTTTTTTCAAACAGTACTACTATATTAGCATACAATTAAGATAAAAATAGATCTTGAAGTATTTTTCTCTTTCAGAAATGCAGCAGAGAGTGAACAGAAAGTGAGAATGATGGAAAGCTTAGATGTCTGTTCTCCAAAGTTTAGCTTCTTAAGAGCAGAAAGTGAGATTAAGCAGCAGAAAACCCGCATGTTGTGCGATGTGTTATTGGATCAGGCAGTATTACCTGGAGTGGGAAATATCATTAAAAATGAAGCACTATTTGACAGTGGTCTCCATCCAGCTGTTAAGGTGGGTGAAGTGTCTCAAGATTGTTTTAAATTACACCAAAGCATTAAGAATGTAAATACATATTTATGTAACATTTTGTCATCTTCTTACCTTTGTTTTATCATCTGTCATTTCTTAAGTTATTCTAAGACACTAACGTAATGTTTTATCATTGTAACTGGAGATACTTGTCACAGCATTCACTGGAACCTGTTGCTGCTACTCGTTCCTCCCAGAGTGGAGACATTTTGTGGGGCTAAGCCTTCTCTCTTGCAACTTGAAACCTCTCCTTAGTCGGGAATTCATTTAACTTTCAAAACCTGACTTTGTCATCCTGTTGTGCTACGATTAAAATGTCAGCCTATAAATAAAGGAAAGTGAAGAGTGCTCAGGTTTTCTTTGTTCAATTACTACCCAAAATAGTTTATGTAGTGGAGCTGATTTTTTTTGCAGCTGCTTCTCCTACTTCCTGTCCTGCTAGCTGGCATCATCTGCTTTACTACTATTGTTTACCATACTTTTTTTGGTTAAGATCCTCAAGCATGCCTCTCCAAACTTTGGTTGAAAAGAAGTCTGATGTTTGCAAAACAGATTGAGATTACATAGAATGTAAAGGAATGCTGGTGAAGGTAGTAACTGAAAGGTTTTTTAGACATAATATTTCTGAAAGTTCTTCATAGGATCAGTCTGGATTTTAATTGTATCTATAATGTGAACTGTCAGAGGAAAGAAAAATGTCATTTAAAATTTTGAGTTCTTAACAAAAACTTATTTAGTTGATACATCTCTCTGATTGTAATGCCTTTGGCTCAAGTATTCTTCCTGAAGATCTCTCACAGGAAAGAGGCTCTGATGATAAATAGGTTGTATCATAATCCATGAGGAAATTAAGAAGAAACTAAGAGTTGTTAACTCCACGTGATTCCTGTGATCACGAACTCTTAGGTCAGTACAGAGGAAGACAACTGAAATTTTTACGTAATGTTTTGTGCAGATGAGGTAATGTACATTTTTTTGGTATTCACACAGTGAGTTTGTGTAGTATAGGGTGTAAAAATGTACTGTTTTACTGAGATGATATGTATAATGTGAAGTCAGAATTATCATAACAGGAAGCAATGCAATTCCACATCAGATGAAGGTGTTCAAAGTGCCCCTGCATTGTAGGTCTTTCTGCTGTTGTCCTTTCGCATCGTAATATTCTAAATGTCATTCTTGTCTTACAGGTTTGCCAACTGACAGATGTGCATTTACGTCACTTGGTGAAAATGACACGTGATTTTACTCTGCTTTTTTATAAGGTATTGGCACATGTTTCTGAGAAACCTCCAAAACTTGACCCAGCATGTTAGCTATATGTGATCATCCAGTGAAAATAGTAAAAGGATGCAACAGGACAAGTGTGTCCATGAATAGCAATGTTGGTTTGTGTGCTCTTTATTAATTGTGAATTGTCAAATGATGGAAAAGTGGGGGAGTCTAGACTGTACGAATGTGCACAGCTTGGCCCAGCTGCAACAGAAACAACAGGTGCTCCCTGAGGGCCAGTTCAGTTTTGCTGTGCATGCACTGTAACGTCACTCTGAACATGTCAGAATTGGTGTAGCTTGAGCACACACTAGAACTAAAAGTCTAGTTCTAGGGAACTAGAGACTGCTCCAAGGAGGTATGAAGGTAATTCATGTGGCTTCCTTTATGAAACTTCAAATAGCAAGTATATTTATTTGACTAAATAGATTCTAACTTTTAGCAACTTCTTTTTTTCCTGACTGAAACAATGTTTTTTCGTTGCGAAAGTGAAATAAATTCCAGCTTCTCTCTACTGCCACAACTTCGGTAGGATTTAATTTCTTCCCCTGTAAACTCTGCAATTCCTGGTTGCTCTTTAACTTTCCAAAATAGAAAAAGAGAGAATTTGACCTAATTCTGGTATATTTTTTTTTCTTTAAGCTGCATGCAGAGAAATGAACAGCAGCAGTGGAATTCTTGTCTGTTTCTCTTGGTATTCATGAAAGGCAAGGAGCTAGTGCTGCTAAAAATTCTTTTTTTTTGGTAGGCCAGGAGGAGGGCACCCAACTTTGCTAATACTGCCTTTCAATCATAGAGGCTAAAAATGTAATTTGTTTAACAGTCTGCTTAGATGTCTGCTTTCCCTCAACCCACTGAAGAGTAGTTCAGCCTGTTGGCTAGGGAAATCTTTTCATTCTCTGAACTTGATAGTGAAGTCTGCCAATAAAGAGATAGCATCCAGTTCTGCGACAACTATAATACTGGGAGATTTAAATGTGTCACAGACTTTTAGACTGACAATAAACAAACAAGTTAAACTTTCTGTAGCTCAGTTTAGCCGTTTTCAAAACTTTTCTAATCAATACTTAGCAAGTATTCACCAGTCAAGTGCCTTTAAAGGAGAGCTAGGCCCTGCTCCCGAAATCTCTTTAAGATAAAAACATAACAAAAATAGGTTAATATGAGTGGAAGTGCTTGATAATTTTTTATAGACTGTTACAGAATATTTGTAGTAATCATACTATATCATTTGCAGCCACAACTTACAGATGCAAAGATGAGGGATCTTATGTAAAAAGCTGTTGCTTTTGTTTGTTTTTTTTAATAACTGGATGGGAGGAGACTACTACTGAGAAACTAACTGTAAACCTTGAAGAGAAAGCAAACTGCTGTAAATATATGTTGGTAATTCCTTCTGATTGCTTTTGCCAGCATAATCTAGTAATTCATTCCCATTCAGTGAGGCTGATGAACAAGAGCACAGCAGAAGCAAATATGCTGCGCTCAGACACCTGGATTTTGGGAAAACTCCAAGGGTCTTCATGCGTTCTGGAGCTATTGAACCCTGCCAGAGCTGGGCTGGTATTGCTGGGCCAGCTGTGGTAGCGTCTGAACTGTGCCCAAGAAACTGCAATTGTAGTGCAGAAACTCATGTGGCTCTGCAGACTTAGCTGCATCTCTGCTGGGATTTTCTTCTTTGTTTTTTGTTTTTCTGCCAGTTTTAGCTTGGTATGTCTCTGCTGACTCCATGTGAATTGTCTCATGAAATGTGCCTGCTTGTCAGCCCCTTGGAGGCTCTTTAGGTCACTGTGCCCTTTGGGCTTGTACCGTACTTCATTTCGTATGACTTTCTGCCAGGATCTGGGGAGCTTGCCATAGTGCCAGGTGGCTTTTCGTGAGCCAGCTTGTCTGGCATGGCCAGTGCAAAGATGAAGCTGAACAACTTTACTGTGTGCTACCCGGCTCCTACAGGATCTCTGGAATATTTCTACATTGTGCAGTTCTTTAGGTTTTGGGAAGACTGATTAACCCAGGTTGTAGCATCAGGTCTGAGCTGGCTCTGCGGTGTGTCTTTGGTTCTTTTTGGGATAAGGGAAGGTAGTGTTGGTATTGTGTTCTATGTTTATTTAACTTTTGTTTTCTATGCTGCATTGATTGGAGCTCTTCTGCTGTTTAAGAACACTCCTGTAGGTGCCAGGTCAAAGATGACTGGTGCTGCATCAGAGCTAGCTGGTCCAGATGCACTCGGGGGGTCCCTAGCATATATTTGCTTGCACCATGATAGTATGGACTTTTGTCTTACATCTTTTATTTCATTATGTGGAGAATTCCAGCCACTGTTATACCTGATTTAAGGTCAATTCTTTTCATAAAAGGATGTGAAATACAGATGATAACATTATGAGTGTGCCTTAAATATCTTTATGTGGTCATTGAGATGTCAGTTTATGAAGGTTTTTTTATTTTAGCTTCAGTTGAACTGTAGGACAACTGACATAAAAAATACACTGGATCTCTAACTTGGGTGTTAAACATATTCTATTTTAGTGCCGCAAAACTGGGTCTGCGCTCTACAAACACTACAAAGTATACAAGCGCCCAACCTGTGGTCAGTGCAACGAGAAGATCACTGTGTGTCGTTTAGGAGAGAATAACAGGATGACTTACTTCTGCTCTCGATGTCAAAAGGCGGATCCTCAGCTCGTCAATGTTAGGTATGATAGTAACTTTCTAACATTTTTAAACATTGCTGGACATCACTTCTCAAGTAGAATGGATCCTTGTGTGTTTTATATTTAAATTCACTTGACTTTGCAAATAAAAATATTTTGCCCATTGGTATTTAAAATTGGTTAAAAGCTTTGATTGTTTGATACTATTTCTTTCAAAGGCCCCATCTGTGCTGAAATAGCTATTACTCTAATCAAATATAAGAATTATAAAACAATTTGGGGTACTCGGAATTATTCAATGCATCTGGAGAAATTGTCCCTTGTTCTTGGTGTTATCAACATAATAGGCTTGAATGTTTACACACAACTGAGTTGAATGCCTTAGGGAAGGCAGGAGTCTTTTCATAGGATAGCCCCTGTAGTCCTGGAACATCTAAATAGCTGTGCATCTATGCAGTTTTGTTCTGGCTGTAGAGTTACACTAAGGAAAACTAAAACTTTGGTAAATTCAGAGTCCAGCAAATATTGTAGGGCTTAGGACTTTTTTTTTTGTCCTCCTTATTGGATTTGGAAAGCTTTTACTCCAGGTGTGCCACAGAGACACTTTCAGTTCCACATAAATTGTGTTAGCAGCAGCCTTCCGTCTTTTATTTTAGAAAAGCACAAAATCTATTTGATATCACAAAGGGTCAAAAGGCAAAAGTTCCAAAAGCACCTTATTCAGACTCTTACATACCTAAGTTATTCTTGAGAATTCTCATCTGAGGTTTCAGAATCTTACCTTTTTATACTGAGCTGACAATCTAATAAAAGATACTGCTTTGCTTTGCAAACTTTGCCTTCATTAGTGTGTGTGTGTATATATATTTTTTCAGATAAGATTTACAGAACACACAAATCCCTCTCCCACCTCCAACCTTCTTTCAGGATTCAGATGGCTGAAGGGATTTTGGTTAAAGCTTAAAAATCGCCTTTGAGTACAGATCAAATACAGAAAATTCCAGCATGGAAGATAAATATTTCACATGCTGATAACCCCAATCTGCTGTATTTGCAGAAATTGATGATGAGAAATGTTTTGCAGAAGGGTAAGAAGACAGCAGTGTTCCATTGAATTAGATAACTAGAAAATGATACAAGGAAAAAAAAAATTGCTTTCTCTCTGTTCTAGAACAAGTAGTTGTTTGGTTTTGTTGTGGGTTTTTTCGGATTTTTGTTTGCTTGTTTTTATTTTTTAAAATACTTGAACTGTGGTATATTTCAGTGAAAAACATTAATGGTAGCTATAAAAAGGTTGTTCCTTGTGCTGTCCTCATCCTAATGGTCAGGTCTTTGTTTTCTACTGCTTTGTTTTCTATTATGCAGTAACTGCTACCAAATAAAAGTGTAGTTAGCTCAAGTGGTTTATCTGCCGTTCCAAGCTTTTCACATTTGAGGACTGAAAGGAACCCCTGTGATCAGATTGACTTATTACAGAACATAAACTGTAAAATTTAACCCAGTGGTTCTTGGGTCGAGTAGCTTATGATTTTTCTCAACTGAAAAAAATGAAGAAAATACCCATTATAAGCTACCTCATCAAATTCAAATGTACCTTGAATCTTTAAAATACAGTCTTCCCCCATACTTCGTGGTCCAAAATGGGGGGGTGGGGTGGGACCGACAGGATTGACGGACTAGGTGGACAATGTGGAGTTAAACTCCAAGACATGACATGCTGAATATATTAATTCTAGCAATGCATCTTTTGATACCTGAGTAGAACAACTGATCTAATAATGTGAAAATACCCATTTTTAACACTTCTAGCTGAGCTGTTTTGTTATCTACCCACAATGTTTTGGTGAAGGCTACTGTAATGTCTATTCTACCTCTTGACAGCACAGGATTTCTGGTATGTCAGCAGTTCTCATTATCCTCCTTAATTTTCCTGTTGTGGAAGATGTGGTAGGTAGTGGATATCTGTACCATTATCTTAGAAATCTAGCCTGTTAAGGAGAGTAATAATTAGAGAATAAGTGGCAGGTCTAACAAGTGTCACAGTAGTTCCCACGTACAGCAATTGCGTTATGAATTGAAGTGCTTACATTCTTAGGATTAAAAAAAGTCTCTAAAAAGCGCATAATTCCACAAAAACTATGCAGAAAAGTGCTTGGTGACTTATCAATCATATTATTTAAAATTTTATATACTTACTGAACAGATAAGTTCAAGTTACACTTAACATGCTAATGATGTTTGGATACTATGGCAAAATTAGTCCTTGGTAACATGTAGTGACTGTAAAATAGTAACTATCATTCTAAATGAGTGTATCAACCTAGGAGGTATTATAATTTAAAAGAAAAAAATTAAATCCATAGAGATGGCTGGAGTACAACTTTGGCTTACCAGTCACAGCTAGGACATTCTTAATAATTAGTGCTGCACTTAAGCACCAAAAAAAAAAAAAAAAAAAAAAAGAAAAAAAAAAGAAAATCCTTAATTCTGATCAGGCTCCTAAATGTTAAAAGGCTTTTCAGCAAATGGTGACATGCAAGAAAGGCTTTCTGAATTTTAAGGTTTTCAGTTCTGTTGGCTGTCATGATAACAATGTGGTCTAATTGATATCATTTAAATGAGAGCAAAAATGTTTGTTTGCTACATTGTGTGACTTTCTGTAGTTCAGCTTCTGAACTGTTCTTCACCCAGTAATGCATTTGTTAGTAAGTGTTCTGTACAAGGAATGGGGGAAAAGTACTGAAACAGTCTGCTTTTCTTGCCAAGTTTCTTGCTGCAATACTTGAAAATGATAGGGAATTTGAGAGAGGCTGGGGCATTGTGCTGGAGAGTACATCAGTCCATTTTTGTTTAAATTTTTGATTTGTATTACTTCTGCAGCATCGCGAAGGATTTGCCCTTGAGGTAAAGAAAAAAAAAAAAATCAAACTTTAACCATGACATGCTGTCCAAGCTATGATAGGCAGGCATAACACTGTGTACTTGTTCTCTAGCCCTGTGCCTCCCTGCACATAGTGGTCTAAGGCAATTTGTAGAAGAAACGTCACAAAAGACTAACATCATTCTTTTGTTTCACAGCAAACTGCCAACTAGAAACAGCCTAATTGGCTGGGCATGTGGCAGGGGGTCATGTTCTAATGAACATGTAGCTCTCAAATCTGAAGAGGAGTGGACGTGTATGCGCTGTACCCTAATAAACAAGCCTTCTGCTGAAATTTGTGATGCCTGTTTGACTTCAAGGCCTGAAGGTATTGAAAGGTTGTCTGGAACCTGTACTGGGAAAGCGGGGGGGGGAGGGGGAATTGTCATTTTTATGCAGTGAGGATTGTAGTTTTGATGCGGTTTTTACAACTATAGAACTGTAGAAGTGTGTCTTTGTGAATTGCATTTATGTAACTTTGGCTAACTTAAAGTCAGATTTTTGGGACAAAACCACAGACAATCATGGAAACTGTCTTGTCTTAAACCTTAAAAGTGTTGTGTCTTCCAGCTTTGTGCAGGTGTGATTCTATGATTCTATAGATATGCCTTTGTTTTTACTGGGGCAAGGAGTGAGGCAAAATGCCATTCTTTCAGCTCTCCTTAAAATCATTAGAAGCTTGCAGCATATGTCTGATAGATAAATCACCAGGGGGCAGAAAAGTAATTATCATTCTTTCATTAAAATAAAAGCAGTATATTTTGGAACCCTTTCCAAAAGGATGTTGGGTTTCTCAGGGGCTAGGTTTTTTCCTCCAAGTTCAGAGTAAGGATGGTTCTGGACTTCTTACCTAAATTTGTTGTTTGTCCCTTACTGGAGCTTTTAATGCTGCTGGTCGGGCGGGCAGAAGCAGCTGTGAATGAGACCTAGAAAGGGACAGGATGATGGAATGAATAACATGTTAGCTTCTCTCCAGGTTTCTTTATAGAAATTTAGGTATTAAGAAAGGATGAGTGAAGTAATGGACAGACTTTCCACTGAGACCTGTTTTCTATGCTAAGAGGAGCTTTGTATTCTTTTTCACCTTCTGTGGAAAAAGTGAGTAAATTACTCTGTGGAAGGTTTTACAGGAAGTTACTTGGATCAAGACTATTGCTCCAAAACGTTTTGGATTGCTACATATGTATCAAGAAACAAAGTCTCGAGGTGTGCATATGTGTAGCTTTTTAGGGGTAAAGCTAATTCTATAACAATTCCATTTTGAAACATTTCTACCTCAAAAACTAGTTCTCCATTTCACATTGTGTAGTGATTTATTCAATGAAGTGGCTGAAATCCACATACTACAACTTAATTCTTTATTTTTCCAGTTCCAGTGCTGCAAAACGGAAAGAAAAGATATTTGTAAACAATATACAGGCTTTTTGTGTCTAAGAAGTATAAATGTTTTTATGGAGGCTGCAAGACCTATTGTTAAAAGGTCACTGAATTTAGCTATATGACTCAAATTATATGTGCTGGAATTGGAATTAAAGATCACATTCCCATAGCTTTTGATGGTACTTTAAGCCAAACTTTCTAAAGTGCCCCCAGATTCCTAGCTGGTAAAGAAGTGACTTTATGGTACTAATCTTGGTTCTTATAAAATAAGTTCCAGTGCTTTTTTTAAAGTACTGCTTCATTCTAGTTATTCCTATTATGAATGGAGTGATGTGTGTGAAACTCTTATCTTACACTAGCTAAAGTCCTTTTCTTCGGGCCAGGAATCAATAAAAATGCCTTACATGGCACTTGTGGCCAGGAGAGGCTAAACTTGCGTAATTCTCCTACAAAATTGGTGCCAGAAACATGGAATTTTAATCTGTCCACAAACTCAAATTTACCATCTAACACTTATCCTGGAATTAATAGTCAGCTGGACCTTAAAATATGTAATGGCATGTGCACAAATGCTTTATTTTAAGCTTCGTAACAAAATCCTGTTCCTTCTCCTGTACTTCTGAGTTTCACTTGTTTAGCTATATGCCATTGCTGAAAACAGGCCTGGAATTTGACGAGGTGTTAGATTTGGTGGAATACTATTACAAAAATTATTTTTAAAAACTAAGACTTATTTTTGCATCATAGGAGTGGTATTTGAGATTTTTTTAACCATGATTTTGCTTACCTCTGTCTTTTCAGACTTTAAGATTCCTTGCCTTCTAACTATGTTAATTTTTTGTCTTTTGTGTTGTTTCTAAAACTAACTACTGTCAGCAGAAACATTTGAATTTTTGAGGACAGAATATTTGGTACGTAAAGTTAGTTGCTGGCCGTACAGCTGAAATAATTCAGTCTGTAGGCAGAGATAACTATTTACCATTACATCTCAATTTCCTTGCTCCTTTGCGAAGTACAAGGCCAGGCTCTTATTCTTTCTTAAACAAATCTGAATGCACTGGAACCGGTGTGTTTCACAGTGGTGAAATGGAAGTTGCCCAGAAACAAGCATTGTTGGGAGTGAACTGTAGGGAGTCTTATTTTGTTTCTGAAGGAGAATGCCTTTGGAGAGAATGTGCCTTATCTACCCATTTTTCTTCTGCTTAATTCCCTCTTCCTTGTATGGGGGGAAGATGTAGGAGGGAGACTCTAGAGGTGATAGAAAAGAAAGGGCTTCAATACTACCGCTTCACAGCTACTTAACAAAGATTGCACACAGGGACCCTGTAAAGTTTTTCTTTTCACCGTTTTCTCAGGAAAGATTACCTACAGGATCCTTATTTATTAAGCTGGCATTAATAAATTATGTACACTCTTTTGGAATGACTGTTGCCCACTAGGTGGGCCTCTGATTCTGTGAAGAAACACACTGTTGTTCATGTCAGGAAATAAATGCAAAGTAACTGTCTGAACTGTTTGCTTCTGAAGCTTCTTACAGTAAGGGATCGATAGGTTTGGATGCAAACAATGTTTCAAAAGGATGGGAACCTTGAAAGCACTGGAAAACCCAATAAATGAGTATTTCTTTTTGTGTCAATAGTAAAACAATACTTTAAAAATGGATAATGTGTTGCTGCTGGAGGTACCATACCCTGCGATCTCATGGTTCTGGGGATATAAAAGGTTATTTTGAAAAAATCTGACATTTTAATCCCTGTATTTGGGCCAAATTCAATTTTGTATAGTTAATTCTCAAATAGCTTTCATTTACAGAGTACTGCTCACATCTGGTCATGTTCAAGCAATAGTAATGTTATCTTCAAACACGTTGTATGTGACTCCAAAAGTGCATGAGCTTTTTTATTGTAAGAAATTTAGTACTATATCTAATCTGTGACAGGTTTTGAGATCTTTCAAGATGGCATGGTGTTTACTCTTTCACTGCCTTATGAATACAGATCAGAAATATGATGTATCACTCTACACAGATAGATTATAACCAATAACTTATTTTTCCTTAGTTCCAAAGACAGAGAACGTTGAAGATTCTGCAGCCTTTAACAGAAACTTAATGAAGTACCCTTGTAATGATTTCAGAAAACCAAGCACAGAAATAAAGATCAATAGGAAAGCTGCATTTGGAACTACAACTCTTGTCTTAACAGATCTTGGTAACAATGCTGTTTTAAGAAATGACAGCCAGATATCTGATGGACGTTCTCCGTGTGTTACTCCAAAAAGCAATTGTAATCAAATCCTAAAGAATGTCTGCCAGTCAGGGGGAAGCACAGACAAGGATTGCTCTATACACGTACCTGCTATGGCTTTGTCCACCTGTCAGCAACCTCTCTCTTTCGAACACATACAGAAGAAACAGAAAACTGATAATCTACCCTCTATTCACCAATATAATATAGCAATCGGGTATGTATTTGAAAATGTAAACAAGTCTTTTTCTAGTCTCATAAACCAACTTTATCCCTGAAGATGAATGGAATACTCTGTTGTTGGGTTCAGACACTGTTGTCTTTGGATTTCTGCCAGAGGTAACTTATTCTTGGGTAACTAAAATTACACTTAGATTTCAAAAGCACTGAATGACCTAGGCTGTCACTGGAAAAGTCCTGATTTTGGCATCTGGCCGGTACTGCTTTTAGCTAAACAGCTGTTCACAGTTCAGCTGTTCCCATGGAACAGGACAGTACAGCTCTAATAGGTCAATGGGCACAGTTCTACCTAAGGAGATGTCTGACTTTAGCACTGTAGTTGCTGTCTGCTTAGAGAGATCTTGAAGTCATTGTGAAAGATGACAAAAGGAAAGTAGCTGAATTATATTCTCATTAAAGTTATTTGTCAGCTAGCAGTTTTCAACATTCTTCCATGATGTAAAGCCCTGTACTGGTACCTTGATAAACCTCCCATCACTATTTTGTCTTAACTTTCCTCCTCATCCTGTATGTAACTACTTCAATGCTCTGCCCATCCTGAATTTTTATTTGCAAAGCCCTGTTCAGACACATCCATTGCCTAGTTAAGAGAAACGTAAGAACCTGTTAGGGTTGTCAAGGAAAAGTTGGGCAGACACACACAGCAGTAATGGGAGAGTGAGGTAGGTGTCATTTACAGTGGTAAATTATGCAGAGTGAATGTGACATATTAATGATATGCTCCAAAATTCTTGGTCATGTGTCTGTTCTGAAATACAGAAATTATTTCCTGTGTTGTTGAAGCACCGGTTTTGAAACAGGATCTCACTGGCTAGTCGGGTTAGGCTGTATAAATATGCTTTCTGCTTGCTGTCCCAGTAGAGGACTACAGAGAACTGAGTATGTAGGCAGGATAACTGAGGATAACAAAGGAGTGCAAAGAAGAAATGAGACAGTATCGAACACAATAACAGGTAGTTATAGAAAGTCATCAACTTAAAAGTTTAAAAAAAAAAACAACACAAAACCAACACAAACCCAAACCAAATACTTTGTAACATTTGTAAAAAATATTTGTTGGGGTTTTTTTGTTTTAATGAGGTGTTGGAAGACAGCTACTGATGTCTGCAGGACTGCAGTCCCTCAGACATAAAAGAGGACATAAAATTCCTAAGCTGATAACATGAATGAATTAATCTTTTCTTTTTTCACTAATGTTTCATCACTGCTTTTCTGCTCTATAGATACATTGTACATATGCATTTCAGAGTATTATTCTTTTTCAAGTTACCATTTTTTAATAGAGCCTTGTGTATTGCATTTGATAATCTCTGACTATCTCAATCATGAGGAAAAAAGAAAGAAAGAAAGAAACTTTATTCCATTCAGAGAATGCTGTTCCATCCCCTCAGATGGATTGCCACTTGTCCAAATATGATTTGGAGCATTACTGTAACTTTAGAGAAAAGGGTGGGAGTCTATTCTGTCTTCAGCCTGGTGTAATTACTTGGTATTGGTCTTTTTCCTACTGACAGCAGAACACTCTTTTGGAATATGTTGGTATTTGGGGTGGGCAGTATAGTAGAAATTAATCTACAAAACAAAAAAAATATTAGAGTACTTTCAAATAATTTAAAACATGAACTAATACTGGGGAAAACTGTTATAATACCTGTAAGAAAAGTCTTGTCTATTCACTACTGGTAATCATTCAGCTTTAAAGGCACAATAGGGTGCATTAGAGCAGTAAGTTCTCTGGCTGTCATTGTGTGTAAAAGTACAGAGTGAGCTATTGTAATAGTAGGGAGAGCATTCTTTGGCTGTGGCGTTGGTAATCTCTTTAAGATTACACAGGAGTAATTTTGTAATCTGTCATTACAGCAAACCTCAAGCAAAAATGGCAGATGATATTCATAAGTTAAGTGCAGGCCATCCTCGCTGCAGTAAACACAACCGTCTCTGCAGCCTCAGAGTTGTGAGAAAGGATGGAGAAAACAAGGGCAGGCAGTTTTTTACCTGTCCTCTACCCAGAGAAACTCAGTGTGACTACTTTCAGGTATGTATAAGACTTCAGGGCATGTTTTCTAATAAGCACTTGTTCCTGCAGCTTCCTTGCCCCAGCAATGAGTATTCTGGACAGATGTGATCCATTTAAAGTTTGAGGTAACTTTAAATGCTTTTGCACACTGAATTGAAACTTAAGAGCATAATAGTAGTTATGAAGTTACAGTTTTAGTTATTTCTCTTACTGCCGAGAAGGCACCTGCTTGGGCAAATGCTCTTAATCTGCTTCCGTGTGACGTAAAACAGACGCGTAGCAGAAATGTTGGTTTGAAGGGACTTGTACAAGTCGTTTAGTTCAGCCTCTTGCTTGAAGGAGGACTGGCAAACTCTAGATCTAGACATCAGCCATGTTTCTGTCTAGCCAAAACCTTGAAAACCTCCAAGGACTAAGATTCTGTAATCTGCCTGGGCAACTGCTCCTGCTGGTGCCCTAAGACCCAGCCCAACCTCCCCAGCTGCAACTGGTGGCTGCTGCTCCTTGCTATGAGTGTATGTGACTGAGAAGAGTTTTCCTCGGTCGCCCACCACCAGCCAGTTAACAGGTGAACTCAAGACTATAATGCCTTAATATGAAGAAAACTATGTGTTAACATCAATTAAAGTTACACTAGTTCAAATGCATGCAGTTGCAATTAAAGAAAAATCTAAAACCAGTGATCACAAAAGAGATCAAACTATCTTAACTGTTAGGAAGAGTTTCTTCTAGGGCCTTCCCTGTAGATCTATTTCTATTGCCAATGTTAAAATAAGGAATTCATAGCCATCACATATGCTAAAACTGTGCCTAAAACCTGTTTCTTTTGGCAGTGGGCTGACTTGAGTTTTCCATTTTGTAACCATGGCAAGCGATGTGTTATGAAGACTGTGTTGAAGATTGGTCCCAATAATGGAAAGAACTTTTTTGTGTGCCCTCTTGGGCAGGGAAAACAGTGTGGCTTTTTCCAGTGGGCAGAAAACGGGCCAGGTATGCAGGGGATTCCTTGATGTCGGTGTTCTCGTTATCTGCTCCTCAGGATGTCTCAAGTGCCCACAACTTTCCTGGTCATTTCTGTTTTGTTTTTGTTTTGTCTTTTTCCCTGTTCACTGGTTAATTAGTATATAGCTTCAACAACATAAAGAACTGCAGATTTGGAAAGAGTAATTTTGCATAGTCCTATAAAAATTAAACACTGCTTGTATGCTGCACACTATTTTGAAATAAACATCTAGCTTGCAATATGCTGACATACTGTTATATTTCTAAAAAAAAAATTGAACTGTTTTCTGTTTCTCATGTAAATGTCACTGAAGTTTGACAGCACTGTGTACTTTCAAGCATATGTGATTTATAGAATGGATAACAATCTAAATTAGTATTTTAAATTGATAGACTTTTTCATAAATGTAATCATGTATTTAATAAAAATAAATAAAAAGTCAGTATACTTTTTTAATACCACTTCATGCTTTATTTCTTCAGAGCTTATAATGAAAGAGCAATGGATGGTATACTTTGAACGTTACCGTAGTTGAATGTATGACCTTGCTTAGATTGGGAAAATAAAGACAAAAACTGCCCTAAAATTAATTACATGACTCTGCAGTTAATTACATATTTTAAATCTAAGCCTTAACATTTTATTCTAGTTGCTACTGAACGTTTTTTCTCTAATCCGTGTGTGATGCATAATAAAATCATACTTCTTAGGTGGTTAAAACTCAGTTTACATTTGCTTGCCTTACCACTATTTGAAGAAGCAAGGGGAAAAGTCAGTAAGACATGCTAAGCTATCAAATGTGATGTAAAGCAGAAACAGAATTCTTCAAATCATTGGAGCATGTACTATAGATAACAAGGAAGATGAAACAAATGAAGATATGGCCATAGCTTCACAAGTTGTGGAATGACAATCAGTTTTTAAAGACAGTAATGGGAAGTAGCGTTGCTTCCCACCAAAAATGTGTGAGATGGAACAGGTTTAAAAGCTGCTGTAAATGGTTGTTCAGTATATGTAAATGCTTCAGAATTAATTCTGTCCTTTCTGAGAGCTAACTGCTTTTTTTTTTGTTTTGCTGTTGCTCAGGGGGAAGGACTACTTCATTTTCCTGAGAAAGTTCTGGAACTTCAGTCCAATTTAAACCTTCCATGGCATGGCGCAAGTGAAAGCGATTAATTCTTGTCCCAGCCAACACAAATTCAGAGGTTTTTTTCTTCCTCTTTTCAGTAGTCTTTGATACCTTTCAAATCTTTTGAAACTTTCTTTATGTGAAGGAAATCTTTTCTAATCAGATTGTAGAAACTATAATCCTTATGTTGCTCAGTGGACTCTTTCCAAAAAATATGTATCTTCATGAAGCCTGTTAGTTAAAGTGTGGTACAGAACTCCACCTGAGAACAAAACAAGCTACATCACAGGGTGAAGACAGACTTTCCATTGCCATCTTTTTTTATGACGCTTTTTACAATGGTATGTCACTGATAGCTTGTGCTTATACATCTAAATCTTTAAAATTGCTGTCTAGCCAGTTCCTCATTTGTATTTGTACAGTTGATTACTGTGAGGAATTGTCTGGTTATTTTTAAATTGTACATGCTTTTGGATGTCTTGCATAGGGGCAAATCTCCAGTAGTTCACCTAAACATGAAAAATAAAAAAGAAATATGACCATTTTTGATCACTTGCCTTCAACAGATGTTAAGATCTCACTGAAGTTAAATGACTTTTCCAAGCATTGACGCTTCAAAAATAACAGTTGGGCTGTTGTGTCTTTTTATTATCTTAACAGCCAGACAAGAAGTGAGTATCTGTTTGTATATTGTTATATGTAACATACAAGTTTTAAAGGATTAACTGGTTTTATTAGCTACTGCAATTGCTTTCCTTTTTCTGTTCTTCTGTTTCTAGAATATGTTGTATCTTTTTTTTTTAAATGCATAAGTAATATGAAAAGTTAGCCTGGGCAGTGGAGCAGTGATGTATAAAGTGCATTTAGCCTCTGAAGTTGCAAAATCTGAATTCTTTATTACTATGTCCTGCTTAAACTAAGGACTAAACTAAGGAAAAGTGTTTAAAATAAAACATTTTGTCCTGATCACTGGTTCATCTATTAAACAATTTTGAATAATTTAAAAGCATGAGAAATAACCTACATTAAAAATCTTACTATTACAATAGGAGAAGTTTCATCTTGAATAAAAGTGATGTTTTATTTTTAAAAAGTGGCTTTCTGTGTTACCTCATTTATGCTACTTTCAGCCTAATTACAAATGTTAGCATGCAATAACCTATATTTATCATCTTAAACATAATGTAGTTGTAGTAGGCCAGCATAGGCTAGCCAGTTGAAGTAACCAAAGCTGGCTGCAGAGAAGTAGCTTGAACAGCTGCACTTTGCTATTTACCAGTGAGACTGCAGATTAGAGAGTCTATGAAGTCTCTGATTGTGCATGAAGTTGCAATAAAACTGGTTAAGAATTCTAAGCAGCTACGTCTTTCTAAAGATGTTCTAGAATGGTTGTATCACTGTTTTGGACAAACAGTTGTTTCGGGGAATGGATATTTAGCTCGAGTAAAATCAGGCAAGAGATGTCACTAGCAAATAACGTAAAATGTTTGAGAGGAATTCTGAAATATATAGAAATAAATTTAAGAAGTTTAAACTGGAAATAAGTCAAGAACCCCAGGGCAAGGTATGTCTATTAAAGGAGTGCAACATGAAGCTTCGGTTTATGGAATAAATGTTTATGGAGAAAATTTTATTTCATAAACAAAACTTTAAATTTAGAAATTAGGTTACCACCTAACATTCAAATTAAACAATTTTGGGACTAGTACCTCTTCCTTAAACATCATGAAAGTAGGGTATGCTGAGATCAAGGGCACCTTAACTGCTTCTTTACATTGCCAAGGCTATTATGCCATACATTAAATTATAAACTATTTAATTCTAATCTCATGTCTCCCCTATAAATACCACCCATTAAGCTTTAAACTTCAAAAGTTTGTAGAGTGTGTTCCCTTGGGCGTCTGTTTTGAAGGGGTGATACATCAGCCTGAATTTGCTTATGATACATCCTGTATGTGTAGTATCACAGGGTGAGAAAAAGCAGAAGTGGAAATAACAAAGGGCAAGGGTGCCCTGAGGTCCTCACAGCGAGCTGCACGTGGAGGGAGCTGACAGGTTTGCACTCCAGGGGAGTAAGAGACTGAGCAAGGGACAGCAAATTCTAATTCACCACCTGCCTCTGAGTAACTTACTGCTGTTGCAAACACCGCTTTTTAAATCTTTTCTACTTTTTTTCTTTTCCCCTCTTCCTCTTGGAAAGGACAGCATTGTGTAACTTTTTTAACAAGCCGTGGCTGATAGCTGGTTATGAAAGATTCTGATAAAAAAACGCTGGCAAGAAAACTTAGATCTCCTGCTCAACCTTTTAGAAAAAGATCTGCGACCAAGGGTGCAAACAGCAAAAAGTTCTTGGAAGGATCTCTTGTGTTTGCTCAAGATAAAAGTCCTCATTTTCAGCTTCTGTCCTACTAGTTTACAAATGTGTTTCTTTTTTCACATCGATTCATCTGTGGCAGTGGAAGTGATGGAACACGCTTACCTCAGACCTGCATCTGGCTTACAGCTGAGAAGGGCTCGTGCTGCGTACCGTCAGCTGCCGGGGCTACAGAGAGTAACGGAGCCTGAGTCAAAAGCGGGCGCTGTCTGCCCCAAGCGTTTTCTGTCATTTGTATTCCTCATGAAAACCAACGGGCTGATAGCTGGTTATGAAAGATTCTGATAAAAAAAAGCTGGCAAGAAAACTTAGATCTCCTGCTCAACCTTTTAGAAAAAGATCTGCGACCAAGGGTGCAAACAGCAAAAAGTTCTTGGAAGGATCTCTTGTGTTTGCTCAAGATAAAAGTCCTCATTTTCAGCTTCTGTCCTACTAGTTTACAAACGTGTTTCTTTTTTCACATCGATTCATCTGTGGCAGTGGAAGTGATGGAACACGCTTACCTCAGACCTGCATCTGGCTTACAGCTGAGAAGGGCTCGTGCTGCGTACCGTCAGCTGCCGGGGCTACAGAGAGTAACGGAGCCTGAGTCAAAAGCGGGCGCTGTCTGCCCCAAGCGTTTTCTGTCATTTGTATTCCTCATGAAAACCAACGTAAATAGCTTTTTAAAAAAAACACAGCCCTTTCTAAAGGCCTTAGGCTTCTGATGGAGTTGTTGCTTTAGCCCGTGGCCGTACGCAGCGAAGGGAAGCGGGAGGTGTTGCCAGAGCCTCCGGGAAGCTGTTAGGGCTGACAGGCTGGCGCCAGCTCCCTTGGCCAGAGGCGTGCTGAGCGAAGGGGTGATGGCAGTTCTGTCATAAAAAGGCATCATCTGCCTGCCAGTAAAGCTGACTTCTAGGTACTCACAAGTTGTGAGAGCTTTTTTAGGCATTGACATCACAAAGCGATAGCATGACTCATAACAGAAACCTGCCTTTAACCTGATCCAGAAAACACTTCTTCCGGTTTTATACAGCACAAAGCGAACCTCAGGAGGCTGGCTGTGCTGAGCTGAGATGCTGTCTGAAACAGGCTTTAGAAGACCTAATCAAGGTTGCACAAGTTGTGAAGTAAAAATGTTAAAGCTAGCAGATGCTAATGCCATACCCAGTTTCTGCTTTACGGTAGCACTCCAGTTACTATTGCAGTTTAAGTAAGTTTAGGCAGAGTAGATCCTTCACTTTGAAAGTAATGTTTATTTTCCAATTTGTGACATTCTGGTTAGAATCAACAGATTTTATGCCTGGTTTCATGCCTTTATACCCTTATTTAAAGTACTTCTATCACCAGCTATTTGTTACAGACAGACATGGGTTTTTCTTGATCTGTACATGCGCAACTACCATTTGATGGCAATACGAATTCAGCGAATAGATTGAGGGCTGAAGCAACGGTCTGATATTACTAATTCACTGAGGGAGAAAGAAATTCACACTGAAAATATGCACTCAAATTTTGAGACGTG